GTATTACTGCGATGTTATTCTTCAGTTGAGAGATGCATACCATGAAAACAGCCATAGCTATGGGCAACTGATGATAGACAGCTTCATTATGACATCATGCCCACTAATGCATCATGTTCCGTGCAGAGTTTATTGGCAAAACATCAACTTACCCAGGTGACTCGGCCTTCCTACAGCCCAGACTTGGCACCCTGTGACTTCTGGCTTTTCCTAAAACTAAAATCACCTTTGAAAGGGAAGAGATTTCAGACCATTAATGAGATTCAGGAAAATACAATGATGGCGATTCCAATAGGATTTTGCAGGGTGTTTTGAACAGTGGAAGACATACTGGGAGAACTGTGTGACTTCTCAAGGTGCCTACTTTCAAAGGGAGTAAGGCCTCATTGTCCTATGTACAGTGTTTCTTGTATCTTGTATCTTCCATAAATGTCTCTGTTTTTCATATTACACGGGTGGATACCTTCCATACAGACCTTGGTATATATGTGCCTAAAATAGGGGTACTAGACTTATTGGGGGTATCATTTTATAAGGTATATAAATATCTAACCATTATGCTATACACTTGAAATTAGTATAATATTAAATATGAACTTTAACAAAAATAAATATATATATGTGTATATATATATATGTGTGTGTGTGTGTGTGTGTGTGTGTGTATATATATATATATATATATATATATATATATATATAATTAGATCTACTAATGGATTCTTAATGGTAATATAAACACTGAGAATAGGCTCCTCAAGCAGATGCCAGAAAATTTAAGGAGTCATGGAGTTCTATGGCTGTAAGAAACTTTAATATTATTATTTTACAGATGAGAAAAACTGAAGTCCAAAGAAATGATCTTTTCCCAAGTTCCCAGGTAGGTAATAGCAGAGTTGGACCAAAAACCTAGATGTACCAACACAAGGGAACATAGTATAATCTTCATGTTCCATTCAAAAAGAATAAAAAGAGAAGTCTTCCTTGTTAAAGGAAATTTTTATCAAGCTAAAAATAGGAATTTATACATATATAATCTGAAAATACTGTATCATCAGCTGCGTCAGTGGTTTTGACAGCAGATAACTCTGCATCCTTGGAACCCCTGATAGCCAGAATATTAAATGTCTGCGTGCCGAGACCTCTGTACCGTCAGAAAAATAGTGACGCAGCAATGGGATTCCAATTTTTCCACCCCTTCAACACATGACAAGTTATCAGAAAATATTTAAAGAATAAATGCCAAATGTATGGAAAATCTTTCACTAGTATGAAATTTATGCTCTATGATTCTCCTCAAACTAAAATATTTATATCATGAAAAATTATTGATCTCTAAAAATTATTGTTTTTTCAATCATTACTTGTATAAATCAGACAAATATCTGGACAATTAGTATCCACATTCTTACCGCCTTTAATGTAAATTTAATACACATAATAAAATATACTAGAGTCAAAAATAATATTGGACAATAAAATAGTTAAAATTCTGATTTCTAAAACAAAATGAAACAAAAAGAAAACAAAAGCTATCACCACAAAGCTGTGACAAAAATTACTGCACTAAAATTGTTTCATGGATGAATATGTAGATAATTTTTATACCTTTCTTAACCAAGATAGAGTTCTCCCATGTCTCAATAGTTTATACATAGGTAATGCCACTAGATGTCACTATAAGCTAAATGATTTTGGTAAACATCTGCAATGAACCGATTAAAAAACAGATTAAAAGGTTGTTTCCTAGAGAGTTTGGCTCCAACCGATAAAAATGTCATTCTACATTTTTGTCTAAAGTTTTTCATAGTTTTCTAAATTTCATTTCTTGAAGACTTCTAGAACAGATTTATTTTTTAAGAGTCATATCAGGGATTAGGTTTACAGAACTACTGCGTGCATGCCAAATAAAAGGGGGGAAATGAAGCTGTAAAATAGAGAGATGAACCTCAAATATTATTTACAGAAACACTAATGCAAAAACTAGCTAACCAAGTAGGGTGTGAGAGAATGCATGATTTTTTTTGAATACCAAGCTACAGATTTCTATTAAATGTGACATATAAAATGAACTATTACAGTTAATATGAAATACATTAAAGAAATGTTCTACTTGATCATACTGCATTTGAATATAAATCAGACCAAATGATTGGGTTTCTTCCTAAAGTTCATTGACTACAAAGGTATATAGGTCGCGTGCTATGTGGTTCTGAAATATTTCACAAAGTACTTCAGTGAGATTTCTCCTGCTGTGCCTAGAGATCCATTTGTGATCCTGTTATGGGATCCACTGCTTTCACAGGAAGGAAAACCTGGATCTCATTCAGAAAACGGAAACACAGCCTTAATTTGCAGATCAGGAATGTGTGGCTTGAAAGCCTTTCCTTTCTCATAGGGTATGGAAGAACCTAAATGGATGGTCAGGGGAATGTCTGGATAAGTCTGTCCATTCATTTGCCTACCCACCCACCCCATGTTCGTGGCCAGACCCCTGAGTGGAAGTGCTCTGGAAGCAGCAGACTGGGACTGCTTGTTTCCTGCCTCTCATGAGAGAGTACTCCTCAGCTTCCCTGATCCTTGCGTACACATCTACAGGCTTGTATCAGTTTGTAACTGTTAAAAAACCAATAAGAGAAAATTGGCTTAACTGCACCCAGAGAACTTTATTCAATGTGAAATCAAGCTTCTGAATTGTAAAATCAATATTATTTTAGGAGGGAAATAACGATATCTGAAAACCACATCAAGTACCATATTTTGCCATGCATAATGTGCTCCTGTGTAAAATGTGCACCCATGTTTTTGGGCCAAACTTTTGGGAAAAAAATCTTTCACTTTAATTTTTTAATTCAATTTTTTTATATTTAGAAACAAAACCAATTATCATATTCAGGGTATCATTTTGCATACAGGTATCATTATTGCTTTCTAGAGTTACACTTTAATACATAAGCATAAATAAAATTAAAAACATTTACACAGAAACAGAGTTAGTACTCCCCATGTATAATGCGCATCCTTACTTTTTCCCTCAAAAATGTGGGCAAAAAGTGTGCATTATACACAGCAAAATATGGTACTTGTCTCTTCCAAATGTGATAATTCACCTACAAATATAAAGAACAAATAAAACTGTAAGAATAATGGGGGTAACAGCATTCTAAGCATATACTCTAAGTAAAAGTTAAACATAGGGTCGGAACTTATAAGACTACACACGTTCAGTCCATTGGCTGGTCCACTGAAAGCTAAGTGAGTGAAATAACTGTGTGGCCACTCCCTCCCCAACGAGATGCAGGATGCGCAGAGGAACTCATGCCATCTGCTATACAAAACAGAGCAACTTCACACAAAGTGGCATTGAGCTGGGGGGCTGGGGGCATACTGACACCTGGTCTGGAGCCACCTGGCTGCAGCTTTTTATCAGGTTACTCATGAAATCAGACTGACTCTGTGGAAATCAAATTAGGCAAAGGTTTTGTAGCGACATATTCTCTAGCAATGCAAACAACTGTCATTCATTAGGGTATTATGAATTTTCCTCTTGGAATTGGTAACAGTGTATTTGGTCAAAGGCAATGACAGGGTGGTCCTTCTCCAGCAGCCGGCCTAACCTGAGTGCTCTGCCACACACAAGCAAAGATGTGACTAACCCACATGCTGAGATCTCATAAATCTGGCCCTTAGTGTCACTGAGACATCCATGTAGAGGGACCCCCATGTAGTGACTGCCTCAATACAAAATATTTCTAGACCACAGAAAGGTATTCTGGGAGCCATGGGAAATTAGAAATCTTTAAAAATATGTTTAACGTTTCCAAAGATAAAACAAGACACACTTTTTATTACTTTATTCTGGGACACACATCACCATGAACCTCTGTATCTAATTAAAGCAGAATGTGAACATTTCCAGCCACCAGAGACCAGTGCCACAGCAGCGCCCCACGAGGACACTGAGATGCCCCAAAGGTCCTTCCGCTGCCCCAGGAAGGCAGGGCAGCTGGCAAAGCTGATGTATGGAGCTGCAAGGAACTCTTTTTTGGGGATTTCAAAATACTTTTATTAAGCACTTACACTAATACTTGACAGACATTTTAGTATTCAAACTTAAACCTTACTCTTTCCATTGTTGTATTTCTTTGATTCTTAAATTTAATTTTCTTGTAGATTTTACTTTATTTTTATTGTTGACACTACTACAGATGTTCCCATGTCCCCCCACCCCTACCCCCGGCCTCAGCCACTCACCTCCACCCAGCCATCCCCGCTTTCCCTCTGGCCATCACCACACTGTTGTCTACTGTTGTCTTTGTCTATAGGAGTTATACCTGTGTTCTCTGGCTGATCCCTTCACTTTCTTTTGTCCACTTGCCCCTTCCCCCCAACTGCTGTCAATCTGTTCCATGTGTCCATGCCTCTGTTTCTGTTTTGTGTGTGTGTGTTTATTTTGTTAGATTCCAAATATAAGTGGGGTCACATAGTATTTGTCTTTCTCTGACTGGTTTATTTCACTTAGCCTAATGATCTCCAGGTCCATCCATGCTGTTGCAATAGGTAAGATTTCCTTCTTTTTTATGACCACATAATAGTCCATTGTGTAAATGTACCACAGCTTTTGTATCCAATCATCTCCTGATGGGCACTTGGGCTGTTTTCAGATCTTGACAATTGTGAATAACTCTACTGTGAAAATAAGGATGCTTATGTTCTTTCTAATTGGTGTTTCAGGTTTCTTAGGATATTCCCAGAAGTGAGTCACTGAGTCAAAAAGCAGTTCCATTTTTAATTTTTTGAGGAGACTCCACACTGTTTTCCACAGTGGCTGCACCAGTCTGCATTCCCACCAACAGTGCACAAGAGTTTCCTTTTCTCCAAATTCTCACCATCACTTGTTTTTTGTTGATTTATTGATGATAGATTCTGGCAGGTATAAGGTGATATCTCATTATGGTTTTAATTTGTATCTCTTTGATGATTAGTGATGTTGAGCATTTTTTATATCTCTATTGCCATCTGTATGTCCTCTTTGGAGAAGTGTCTATGCAGGTCCTTTGCCCATTATTAGTAAAAAAGTTTTATATCCAAATTTTCAGTCATTTCTAATAAAAGGTACATCAACATAATATCATTATTTCATCTTTAGCCCACAAGTAAAATTCATACCACAGTTCTTAACATTATGAAATTAAATTTTGGCACAGTCAATAAATAATATCACTCTAAATAAATCTTGAATGCTACACTTTAATTAAGCATCACATGAAAATATGCTAGTAGAAAGCAGACATTAAATACATCTCCTCAAATAATTCTTAAACATCCTAAATTCAACACCAAAATTTTAGCTTACCGAAGTTAACATTATACAATCACTTGTAAAATATATGCTTCAAAATAGTCAAATTACATAAAATTTTAAAGGAAAAGAATCCAGAGGTCTCCAGTTAAGCATTTACATAGCATTCACTATTCTGTCAGCCAATGTACTTAGGAGGCAGAAAAACTGGTATTTTTGCTTTGAGTAGAATGGAAGCTTATAGGTTTACATATGTTTTAAAATAGCACTACAGAAATCAGCCAAGATTAAATCAGGAATATGTTTCCTGTACTAGTTTACTCTTGGGAATTTTGACTAACATGCATTTTTTTCCCATTTTGTGAAATTCCTTTTCTCTGTTGTATCTTAGCCCCATGACTCGGGACTTAGGAAACTTTAATATTTCCTCCCATTTGAAGTGGTAGGATAGGTGCCTAAACAGGTTTGATCTACTGATAGTTATGGAGAAGGGAATGGAAAAAGAAGGAAACATCTGAGAAGATAAAAATCCACCCATGAGCAGAGCTGCACAAATAAGTGTGTCAAGGTTTAGCAGATTATCAGAATTGTGAAATGGTGGGCAGAGTACAACTAGGAAACTTGGTACCTGAGTTCTAACTCCAGAGTTCGTAGAGTTTTTATATGAACTCGGGCACATCAAAGTCTTTGGGAGTCAATTTCTTTAATTTAGAAAAAACAGAGTTTGGCCAGGTTTAAGTTATTAAAATCCCTTTTGGATGAATAGTTATATCACTCTAAGGTTCATATAACTGTAGACACCTAACTGTCATCAGGTACTGCTTTGGCAACAGTGAAAAAACATCAGTTTCAATACTATTTAAACCAATAAGTGCATTACTAACATTTTCAAAATGTGACACATTACAGACCAGTGGAATACTGTTATCTCTGAATGGTTATTTTCTTTCATTTAGAAAGTTTTAACCTTCTGACCTAAAATGCTATATTGCTTGTTTATTTATGTAACTTACTATTTTCTTGGTTATTATGGAACTTAAATTCTGTATAAAAATTACTTTTAGTATTATATTTAAATTCCTAGAGAAATGTTTTCAATTATTCATTTTCTATTTTCTTTGAACAATCAGCGTTCTTCAAATGATACAATTTATAAAAGTAGAAGTCTACCTATGTCCTTAATTTGAATTAAAATTCCTTTATATTATAAATTAATAAAGACTTAATGAGCAAATATCTACATCAGTGATTTTCAACCTTTTTCATCTCATGTCACACAGTTACTAAAATTCTGCAGCACCAAAAAAAATATTTTTTTGCCCATCTAACAAAAAATGGTATAATTTTGATTCATTCTCACTGGATGGCTATTGTGTTGGTTGTTGTCATTTTTTATTTGACAATCTATGGGAAAAGAGGTCATTTCCTTTGATTAAATAGGTATTAACATGTTTTAAAATTTTTGTGTAACACTGGTTGAAAATCACTGATGTACATTGATATTTGATATTTTTAAAGGAAATATAGGGAAACCATATCCCTTAGATGAATGTATTAAAGAGATTATTACCAGGCCTGATTCTCCCCTTGGGATCTCAAGTGGCAAAGATAGTACTGTACTTTCACCCAGCTCCCAAAAGTCAGCTTTATTTCTGCTGCAGGAGAAGTTTTCATTCAACTAGATAACTGAATCAGCACTGGTTGCTGTAAACAGAAAATTATACACACACACACACACACACACACACACACACACACACTTTTTTAAATCAAAGAAAGACAAAAATCCCCTTTTGAAGGAAATGAATTGTTTGGTTTTGCAGACATCTTAATTTTCCTTTTCATCCCACCTCATGAGCAATGCTAAGAAATTAGTATTTAGATTTCTTTTTAGGAGGTCTCTAATACAGGTCACCTGCATATTCTCTTTTGAGTGCCAGGGTCTAGACTGACCAGCAAAGCAGAGATTTCTTCTTGTATGCTGAAAATGTGTAATGTCCACCACTATCAACCACATCTGTGTTAACCTTCTTACCTACACAAAGTGGGGAAATGGTAGGGCTCATGATAGTAAATAAAAACAATGAACATTTATTAACTCACTGTGTGCCATATGTTTTACATTAATTTCATTCAATTCTGAGAACTGACAGGTGATAATTGTAACCCACTAATTATAATAATAAAGAATGATCAGAAAGTTTAAGTAAATAATGTGAAATCTGTAATACACATTTATGATCTTACAGCTTTTTTTCCTATTTTTTCCTTTTACCTCCCTGGAATCACAAATATCATTTTAGCTACAAACAGCTAATTCAATACAGTAAGCACTTAACAATCTATTCTGGTCTGTACTGTGTTTGGGTCCATAGGGGGATCCCGAGGACGAGTGAGGCTCTACACCCCGTGCTGATAATACATGTTGCTGGCAATTATGTCAATTTCATGAAGTATTCTCCTAGTGCAGGCAGCATAGAAAGGCTTCTAGTTGTGTTTATAAAATGTCCTTTACCTATAGCACTGGTGTGACCCTACAAAGGGACCCACAACACCTTTCCCATCTTGCACATGCACTGCAGCAAGGTTAACTCTGAGAGTGTGAACCTCCTCAATGACTCTGTCAAGACCTACAGTACATGACCTGCTGGGTTTTCTAACATTCTAATACTAGATACAAGGCATTTGACTAACTCCTTAAATATTATTAATTCCCTTTCCATTTAATTGCTGTAATGAGGTCCACCATCTCTACTAACAAACAGCTATTTCTTAAGAAAAAATAATCTGCGGATAATAATACATGGTTGTAGGATCTGAGAGGTAAAATGTGTGTGTAAGATTGGTACAGTACCGAGGTCCTGACAGACAATTGTCTGAGGCCACATGAGAGCATGAAACGAGCATGTGGATTCTGGATGGAGCCGACTTAACCAGTTCTATCTAATCCTAATTCAGGCACATGCTAAATGTGTGGCAAGTTATTTGATTTCTCTGAGTCTCAGTATTTTTATCTGCAAAATGAGACTAATAATACCTACCCTGAATAGCAGTTGTAAAGATGAAAAATAACATTAGTAAAAACCCAGCAGAGAGGATACAACAGGTGCTTAATAAATAGTAACTGCTTATTCTCATCCATCATTGCATTGCACATTGGCCAAGGTAGCATTTTAACTGTAAGAGCATTCACTTGGTCTGTGATAAACTAGCTGACCAGTTCAAGTATGAGTCCAATTACCACAAGGGTATACAGAGATTGAAATAAATAAAACTGTAGAGATGTTTTCCACAAATTCCTTCCCATACAGCTGTCTTCCAAATACAAACTATAAGACTCTGGATTAGGTAAGAGGGCAAAAATTGCATTTTTCACATTTATGGCTTTAGTCTAGAAAATAATAATAGTGATAATGACCTTGAACTCTTGTGGAATTTCCCTAATGCGTAAGTATATCACTACCATGGAATGGATATTTTTTGGTATCACTGAAATAAAAAAGATTGAATTTAAAAAGGCAAATTTCAGAGGTCTGCTTACTATAAAGTGCCTATGATTGTCATGTAAGCCTAGAACAGATCAAGGTCATTCATATTAAAACATAAGGCAGCATTATTAAACAAAATATCTCCATTAGCATCCTACTGAACTACTGCCTCGATTGACCAAAATGCTAGCTTGCACAGTGCAAACCCAACTGCTTTTAGCTAAAGATCAATTTTAGAATAACACATGCCAGTCCCCAGCAACTGTTCATTTAAAAGCCTGAATCTAGATGCACAATCATATATACATTCAATTTTTCCTATAATTACTGTACTTAGATGGTTTCTTTACTAGTATTGGGAATAAACATACTGAAATAACACAGAGAGCACAGTGAAAGTGACCACTGATCACCTGACTGTAAGAATCACCAGGGCTTGGTAAAGGGTAATCTGTTTCCCAGGGAAGAGCAATCCGACGATTAGCCTTCATTTCCGGCAGCTGGTCTGCAGTTCAGAACCTGCTTTCAGTGCTTTCACTGATTAAGCTTCAAAGCAGCTTTTTCATGATCAGCAGAAATGACTGGCATTTAATTAAAATAGGCTCTTCTAACTATAAATAACTGAATAAATAGTTTTAAACATATGGCTAACACTGTTGAATCAGTAGCTAATTAATGTAAGAAGCAGAATTATCAAAACACTTTTGAGAACACAGTTCTGCTCGGAGGGTTCCACGGAGGAAGTGCCTCGTTTTCAAGAAAGGAGTGACGTTTCTTTCCTCTTCGTTCAATTCTTTCCTGCCTTTCTTTCTTTTCCTAAAGAGAAGAGAGAAAACTAGACATTTATATACATGTTTAAATAGAACAAAATAATCCACTATGAGAAATTTAAATGTCATTTCCTAGTTTACTAATGGACAGGCAGCTAGGGAATACTGCTACTTTATAGGTAAACTATCAATAAGTATTAATATACCACTTAATTTTTTAAATATTAAAAGTGATATTTTAAAAAATTATATAAAAGAGAAAAAGACCTATAGTTCCATAACTCAAAGACAATAATTATTCTAAGTTAGCGATCATTTTCTGAGAACAGGTTCAGAAAGGTGCAATGGCTGAGCAGGCCACAGTACAAGGAATGCTTCAGATTTTTTACAGATGTTTGGACATTGAGATTCATGTTTCTTTGCTTACTATTGAGGTTGAGCACACTTTTATTTCGTTAGCCCTTTTGTGAACTTTTTGCTAATCATTTGGCTCATCTAACTGTATGGTTATCAATCCTCCTTTAGTCCTTGATTTTTACAAACAATAAGATATTTCAGCCAGAGACAACAGTTTAAAGAGTATCATAAACAAAACGTGTGTAGCCACCACGCATGCCCTAAGAAAGAAAACACGGCCACTCCCTCATCACATCTTCCTTCCTCCCCACCCCAATGAGGTAACCATCACTTCGAACTGGAGGCTCACCAGCACATCTCTTAATACTTTTGTTACATGTGTATTTATCCCTGAACAACACAATTTTGTTTTGTGTTTTAGAATCTGTAACAAAAAAGTATTGTGTGATATTTTCTATTGCAACTTTTCCTAGTTCATTATATTTCTAAGATTCATCTACGTGGAGTTTGAACTTTAGTTCCCTGATGTATACAATTCCAGCATATCAACAAATCCCAATTTATGAATCGGTTTTTTTGTTGAAGTCATGTTTTCATTTTCCTTACCTAGTGATGCTGTAAACATCCCTGTTTATTCCTTGGGCCTATAAGCCAAGGTTTGCTCTCCATCTATATGTATGGGAGTGAACTTGCTCATCTGCAGGGCAAGAATGTCCATCTCTGCTGGAAAATGTATTCTCTGAAGCAGCTGTAGGAATTCACCCTCCAACCAGCACCTATGCTTTTTATTTAGATATATGAATTATTTTAAATTCAGTAGGTTTTCTTGTTATTTCTTATAGCACTTTTAGGTTTTAAAAAGCATCTCATTATTATTTAATAGCTATTACCTTTTATTTTACTTTGGTTCTATTGTTGGGTATTTTATATTTAATACCTTAATTGTTCTGGAGTTTGTATCGCTATAATTCTGTTAAGTGATTTATGTCCAAATGTCACACAAATAATCCCAATTGTTATTTCCTTGCATCCATTAATTAGTGGTACTTTGTTATACATATAGCACATCCTTATTGGGACAGGTTCTAAGGTGTCCTGTGGCACTATACTGCTTCAATTTGTGTTTATTCGCTTAACTGTTAAGCACTGAGACCCTACTCGGGGTCACTCAGTGTACTGGGTACCATGCATAAACTGAATGTAAAATCCAAACACACAGGATCTCTCTCCCTCAGGCAACTTGTGAAATAGACAGTTAATACACAAATAACAGGCAATCCAAGTTATGTGAATTTTTATAAAATATATAAACAAACTGTTGTGCTTGCTAAAGAAGAAAAGGGAGTACTTTCAAAGATAAGTGGATTCAGGAAAAGTCATTATAAAGTGAGATGTGATGGAGAGAAGCCACTGCGGATAAGCACTGAGAGCACTTCACGCAGAGAGAACAGCAGGTGTGGGGGCTCTGGCAGGGGGAACAACCTGGGATGAGGGCATAAACAAGAGACCTAGTGTGAATAAAAACTGGTAAAAAATGGTAGAGGGCTACCAATGGGAATGAAAGACAGATGAGTAAGATTATGAGGTTTTGTAGGCCACGGTGACAGGTGGGGAAAAAAGAAAGAAGTCAACAAGTGCTACTGAGAAGGCAAGCAGAGGAGAGAGAAACTAGGGGAACCGGCCAGGCAGGGAGACGGTGGCAACAAGGGAAAATCAGCTCTAGACCACTAAGGGAGCTGGGAAATGAGGCAGCAAAGAGTCCATTTGACTGGCTGGGTGCCTGGCAAAACTGCCACTTTCGAAGTGTAGTTTCAGTGTAGGTCTGAGAAAGGGCCCATACTGGTGTGTTGGGGTGGGATGGATACGGAGAACTAAGAAGGTATGAGCAAAACATCTTAGAAGTTTAACTATAAAAAGAGCGGTGAAATGTGGAACCGTATCTGAAGAGACGTGAGGGAGTATGTTAACATTAAATATCCTGGAATATGACGGGAATGATCCAGGAGACGGACAGGCTGGTTCAAAGGAGAGTGGAATGGTTTTTATTTTATCGTTTCATAAAAACAGTCCTGCCTTATCTTACTTTAAAAATATTGTCTTCCATATTCTCACTTTATCAGATGAATTTCAGAACCATTTCCTGCACATAATCTTTTCAAAGAAATGGCTATTTGACCACGTAAATGAAATCTAAACATTAATCTAGGAATACTTGAAAAGTTAATAGCATTTGGTCTTGTTATCCTGCAGCTCCGAGGGAGAATTTTTCCTTTTTTTTCAAAAGATTTTTATTAATTTATTTTTAGAGAGAGAGGGAGAGAGAAGGGGAAACATCAATGTGTGGTTGCCCCTCACATACCCCTTTCTGGGGTCCTGGCCTTGCAACCCAGGCATGTGCTGTGACTGGAAATTGAACTGACACTCAATCCACTGAGCAATACCAGCCAGGGCCAGAGAGAGACCTTTTCCAAGCCTCTAATAATACGGTATAAAGTTTGATGCTTTCTCATATTGGTAATTTCTTCAAAGGATAGCAGTATTGGGGAACCTTGGACAACCCTGCCTCTGCAGGCTGGATGGCTTGGGAGGGGTGGTATTTTGGTACAGTATTAGGTATTTATACTTCTTTTATCAATATATAAATGGGATGCACAAATGTCACAAGGTGAGTGTGATAATGCAAGGTTTCCATTACCATACAATGATTCACACACAACAGAGGACTCGAGAGGTGAGCTTTTATTTTAATCTGTCTTACTGTCTTATTCCACGTCATGCAAATGTTTGCATGCTTGCTACTTCTAGTAAACCAGAGAACTCTTTATAATTATAAAGAATTATAATTCAAGAAACATTTTTAACAGCCATGATTGGGTCACTGTTGATCATTTTCGTATTTCAGAGAGAGGGAGACCCTCTAGCTAGATGGGGAAAAGTGCCCACCTGTGCCCACAGAAACTGACTGAATAAACCAACCTCTCTTTCTCCATTCCATCTGACATGGGGAGAGAGGAAAGTGAAACAAGTCTGATCTCACCAGTAAGTGCTGAACAGTCAGGATAGGAAACAAGCAATTATCAACCTCTGTACCAATTAACATGGATCGACAATGTCATCTTGAGTAATAATTTAAAAAATCTTGTTGGAAAGTCCAACTTTCTGACTGTTGTCTATTGGAGACTGAACCTTTTACTTATTTTCTTACTAAAAATAACTAACTAGGAATTAATCTTGAAACCAGCATGAAGAAGAGTCTTACCTAATCTTTGGCCACAACTTCCTGCTCACCAAAAAAATTACCCATCAAATGCTCACTACCCAAGCTAGGATGTAGATCAAAATTTTGAGATGTTACTTTACATGAAAATTGAAGTTATTAGAATTCCATATAGGGATATTTTTCTATTCTATCTTAAAACAAATTTCAGTAAGAAATTGGCAAGATGGGGAGTAGATTTGTAAGCTGTTGTGTATGGATGATTTTATAGGTAGCACTACATTTGTACAGGTTGCATTACATTTCAAAACAAAATATTTTGTATTAGGCCTTTGATTAATGAATTTTTGTTCTCCACAGGACTGATCAGAATAAGAAAGGGACTAAACACTAAAATACATAATGTACCTAACTCTGGCTTAGTTATTAAGAAAAGTCTATTTCATTTTTAAGAGTCTGTGAAAATAAAACTAAAACATTTACATTTAATTACTCTAAGGGATACTAGCAGTCTGTCAGTACAAGTCTCCTTAAGAAGACTTTTAATTTTTCTTAGAACAAATCATTTTTTAAGAGTTTAATCAAAGGAAATCACAAAACACTACCTTCTTCACCTGCAACATTGAAACCTTATTTTGATTACTTTATTTTATTATTTTTCTGCCTGGCACTGAAGTCAACACATAAACAACAATATATTCCATTGATATTTTTTATTAGGACTGCATTAAATTTATCAATTACTTCAGGGAAAATTTCTTTAAAACATTATTATAACATTGAGTGTTCCTATTTCATGGCAGTTTTGACCCACTTTCTCCAGTCTTCACTTCTGTTTTCAAAAATACTCTAAATTTTCTTCATATTAGTCTTGAGCGTTTGTTTCTTCAGTTTATTTCTAAATGTTTCATCTTTTTATTCTACCTTCAGATGGCCTACTTTGGGTTCTGCATGCCTCTCTAGCTACTGTTGCTTGTAAAGTTTATGTAAAACTTTATATGTAGTGAAAATGTAACAATAAGGGTCAGAAAACTTTGAAAGAAGAGCTATGAAGGAAGATTACTGCAAACAAATATTAAAACATACAAAGGCCTGACAATGAAACTGTGTACATGAATGTATATAGTAAGAATGACCAACGAAACAAAAAGTCAAGAAACAGACCTAAACAATCTGGGAATGTATCATGTAATTAAGGCACTACCTCAAATCAGTAATGGGCTTTTTTTTTTTTTTAATAAAAGATCCATTTAGGAAAAATAAACTTAGGATCATATTTCCCACCATACATCAGGATAATTTCTAATTATCAAATGTTAAAATGTTAAGATATTAAAATCATAAACTTATTATAATTAAAATAAAAGCACTTTGTTTAATCTCAAGTTATGGACACAGTCTTAGCAGCTATGCCTGAAATTCAAAACCCAGAAGACTGATATATTTGACACCACCAAATAAAATAAAAGTTTTCATGGCCTAAAATACTATATGCAAAGTTGAAAGACCAACAAAACAATGGGAAAAATATTTGAAACTCATATAAAAATGATAGACTAATTTTCCTAGTGCATAAAAAACCTTCGAGAAACCAATAAGTAAAAGACAAAATAGAAAAAGGTGGAAGAGTCTATGACTTTACAGTTCACAGAAAACTTAGAGAGATGATCTTTATAAAAAAAGGAAAGCTGCTCAAGCTGAATCCTGACCAGAGAAATAAAACTACAAAATTCCATGGATGATATCTGTTAACTAGCTGATTAGCGTGACTCAGAAAAAGTTTGGTAAGAAACCCCAATGGAAAGAAACCCTACTGAATCTTAACCCCTGTGGAGAAATCTTACACTTTTTGAAACAACTGATGAGTTAACTACTCATACCAATATGTTAGCTACTCATGTAAAGTACCTAGTCATATGAATGTATTACTTATTCAAAAATTAATAAAAAATCCTATCTATATTGATACTTTAAGATAGAGAACATTATTTGACACCAATGAAAAGTAACCATAAACACAAGTACACTGAAACAAAAATATTAAATATATGTATATGAATATATATTTATGTGTATATATTTGTGTGTCTCTGTATATATAAAGTCCAGCTAGATATTTCCCTCCAAAAATGTATTTGCTCTCTTTTATTAAAAGATACCTAAATAAGATCTTTTCTTTAAGGTCATCAGAAAGATCAAAAGAAAATTGAAAAATGTAATAACGTTCTTGCCACTAAGCTCAGTGTTCGTGTGTGTCACGACCAGGTCCCACCTGAAAGGGTCTGGCAAACCTTCAGAGGCTTAGTTGTCAGCACTCTCTGATTTTAGGTATGAAAACCATCGCAAAGGAAGAAGGGGTGGGGCTGGTTAAGTGACGAATTGTGGGAAGGTGGGTAAAGAGGAATGCCATGATAGAAGTTTTGAGCCTGTCTGCTTTAGGGACTCGTGGAAGCATTAATAGAAATGAGTAAGTCAAAAAAATATGATCTATGTAGGAGTAAAGAATGAATTCAACAGGGCAGCTTCCAGATGGAAATGGTCAGTAGGCAGGAACAAAAAGAACTGAAATTAAAAATAGGAAAATCACACAACATAAGTACATTTAAAAAGACACAAGTGCATTAGCAAAAAATACCTACCAGCCATTTTTCATATTCATCAATAGCTTGTCTATCTTTATCTTTTTTCTCAGTTCTTTTCAGTTCTTCTTTTCTTTTCTCACTTATTTTCTCTTTTCTCTTTTCTTTGAAAAAAGCTTCCTTTTTTTCACTCCTATGTAGGATAGCATAAAACACTGAAAAGTTAAAGAACATATAATAAAGATTTCCTAATATATCTTTGCAACAATGAGAATGAGATGCATTAGTAAATTTCAAATGGATAAATTTTAGAAGTCCTAGGGTGTTATCAGTTTAAAATCTATCAAAATATTTATTAGTTTGGATTACCATTTTTCCACAGCAGTCAGGTTGTCTTTCCTTTTCTCAGCGACACTTTCCGCCTCCTTCTGCTTCTTTGCTCTTTCGTGTTCTTTCTCCTTTTTATTTTTCTCCTTAAGATATTCCATCTTTTTTTCCTTCCATCTCTCAAAAGCCTGAAAAAGTTCAGAATAATTTTCTGATTTATTGTGAATCTTGTAAAATCAGTAAAAACACAACCACTAATTTATATTTTCATGTATTTAAAAATAATTAAGAAAGCTATTCAAAGTTGTTGAATACTTGTTGTGCTTCTTCTTTTCTTGCGGCATTTTCTTCTTCAGTTTTCTTCTTGTTTATTTCCTCAAGCCTTTTTTTGGCAGCTATTTTCTTAGCTTCCTTTTCTTTCATAGCCTTCCAGGCCTCAAATGATGCTAAGGCCTCTTCTCTCTTCGCAGCTCTTTTCTATTTTGGAGATACAGCAGACAGTTATATATGTATATGCAAATGGCCAAATACAGATAGATACAGCACATATATATTTACCTTTAATTCCCTTGATGTGCATCATATGTATAAATTGTGTTTCAAAGCAGATGATTTACTTAGAATGGTTTATTATAAATTAATTGATGAAAAACATAGTCTGAATCTTTCATTACATTTTAACATGTCCTTTATGAAAATGCATTTTATCAGCTATTGATCTCTATTACTATTCATGGGAAAGAAGTTGACTGTTTTTTTTGCAAGTGTACTGTACAAATGTTATAAAAAAAAACTGTAATAGGCTCAGTGGTACTATAAAATGTTCATAGTAAAATATTTAAGTAAAAAAAAAGAAAAACATCAGCAAAGTACTAGGCTTATAAAGTCTGAGTAAGGGAATCTGGCCACAACAAACAGTAAGCTGCAGATCTTTGTGTAGAATGGCGTTTTGAGTAACATCAAAGCATAAAATTCTTACTATATAAACATATCGCAATTGCTGAACAGGTGTGGCAGACTGGAAAATATGCAGGTGAGTGTATAGCAAGTATGTTATTGCTTTCCTCACTTCAATCTAATCCCATCATGTCCTGAAACACTCAATGAGATAAAGCCTTATTACGGAGGTAACATAAGTCAGACGCAGAAGGACCACGTACCTCACTGAGTTGTGAAGATCAAATGAGATGTGTCTGGCACTGACCGCGGCAGTAAGATGCTGCGAACGTGGGGACAGGCGTGCAGGCAAGCCCCGCAGGGCTGCTCTGCACAGCACTGTACATCTGGGACACAGGTTTCTTTCTACATCCATTTTAGTACTAGACAGCATCATGAAGTGGTTTTGTTTTGTTTTGTTTTTCCAGGGCTTTTATTTTAAAAGATGAGAAGGACCTGAGCATGTTATAGGCTATCAAGCAGGAGTTTGAGGCAGACATTGAAGCACCAGAAAACATTAAACAAGAGTTCAGTTCCAGTCAATGGGAAAAATATGAGCCGAGACCTCGGGTAGGGGTTGATCTTAAAGATGCATATAAAATCCGAGTTAAAAAGAGGAAACCTGAATGTTAATGCTGCTGACACTTTATATTCTTGGGTAAGTTGTATGAATGAAATCAATTTTTTAGACTGAAGTAGGTAGGTGGTCACAAGCAATAATAACTTTATAATCAGTAGTGCCATTGCTATTACACACATAAAAAATAAAAATCTGTGTCTATATTTTTTATGTGAAAGTTATATTATAACAAGCTAAAAATGTATAAAGTTCCAGAGAAACAAAATCAGAAATCAATTATTTTATATGTAAATTATTTTGCCATTTTAAAAATATTTGATTTAGAAATGTTAAATATTCAGAGATATTTTACTAACTTAAAAATCCAGAATATTTTCACTTCTTTATTTCAGAATACCTGTTCATTTTGGATCCTTAAGTTTTCACTTTCAATCCTTTTAATTCTGTGCTTTTCATGTATATATGCATTTTTCTTTTCTAACCACTCCTGTGAGAATAAGAATAAAGCTATGATATTCAAAGTTTCTCAAATAAATTTAAATTTTTATCTATTTCTGAATCATTTATCTAAAAATTTTACATGCAAAACATTTATAAATTCTATATAAATTAGTATCTTTTTTCTGATAATATTCTAATATATAATGATGATCACGAATTAAGAAAATTATGTTGTTTTTCTTAGTATTAACAATAGGCATCAAAGATTGGATATAATGGCCACATATCAATATTTTGCTCTAAAATTCACAGACTACTTTTTAAAATATATTATTCTGTATAACAGAAAAACATAATTGCAAAAATATTAGGAAAGTTTTTTCTCTGTGTAAGCCTAATTCAAATACAAACTCTCTGGAATAAAAACAAAACTCTTCTTGTTCCTAACAATATAAACTTTAAGAGAAAAAATATAAAAAAACATATATAGCCATTGATATTTTTGCTTTTGCTTTATTTTTATAAATTAGCATGGCATATGTCTTTCTTTAAAAACTACAGTGATCAGTTAAGCAAAGCTTGGAAGGGAATAATGTAGTAAAAAAAAAGTTTTGAATTGTTCAGGTATTATAAAGGAAAATCTTTCCCAATAAATTAAGCATTGAATCATCATTTCTGACAGGGTCATTTTATTCCTTGGGAAATAGGTACGCTTATGTAAGTAATTAGGTCTTATAATTATTTTATTTTTCACTTTTTCACCTGATAAACAGCTGCCCGTATGTCATCTGCTCTGTCAGGTTCTATGTTCTGTTTCTGTGAGGGCTTCTGGTCCAAGATTTTCAGAGTGCCTAAATACTGAGAAGAGATAGTTTTTGATGGAGTCCTCTTTATGGAATTCTTTAAATACTCAGAGGTCATTAATCTGAAAAGATCCAAATACATCAAGATAAAATATTACAGCTGCACTTGGTATAAAAAGATTTGTTAGAATACTATATTTAAAAACTATACTATAACTTAAAAAATTCTAATTAATTTGAAAATGATGTATACTCTTTTCTTATTATACAAAGCAACCCATTAAACATAATTTAAATTTTTTAACTTCTAGTAATGTAGCTTCAAAGTGATTGCTCTTTTAGGCACTGTAATTATATTATTTTAAAGAAACATGGGCTATATCTCAAGTTACATGGAAAAATATTAATAAAGTAGGTTTTAATAGTTTCTTCTATTACTTTGTTACATAAACCATCCTAAATACTAAAGTTAGAAAACTGTCCTCTATTTCAGGGGTTGGTGGGAAGTCTGATGCACCATCTGTTTTGGTGAATAAAGTTTACTGCATCACAGTTGTATTTATTCATTTCCATACTGTCTGTGGCTGCTTCCCTGCTGTGATAGCAAAACTGAGGGTTATAACTGAGACCTGATGGCCCACGAAGTCTAGACATGGGCTAACTGGCAACTTAGAGACAGATTGCTGACCCTTGTTCTAGCTGGTTAATGATCATTTGATTACATTAATTTAAAAGATTCCAAAGGTTTTGCTTAGCATTTATGAGTTAGTATTTTATTACTGTCATCATCAGTTTTAATGAAGCCAGATAGATTCTTATCATTTTAATAAACAACTTAGCCCACAAAACCTCAAGGCTTGGAGTATAATTTTTCATGTGTTAGTGAAAGACACTTAACAGAGAAATGTCATGCTGGACCTGAGCTTTATTACCACTTTGTATCTCCTGTCTCTGGAAAAACAGGAGAAAGAAACTATTCTAGAAGCAATGGAGAGTATGGAGAATCCTAATCAATTCCTTTTTATAAAAGGATATAATCAACTAAGGAGTTTTATCATGAAGAAACTAATCCATTTGTCTCATGAGCTGGAAATAAGAGAAAATCAAGTGACACTAAATGTAATTCACTTTACAGAAGTTCAATTAAAACTAGCGTTGTGGAATGTAACCCATAAGTAAGTAACAATGACAGCTTTATTACCTGCCCAAGGCACTGGATGCTCTATTACTTGTTGACTTTTTATTCTTCGTATTTCTATCTTCAATTGTTTTCTATGAAATAGAAAAAGCCATAGATGGATTAGTCACCATAACTATCACAGAGAGGCCATCACAGAGATCAAACTATAAGTGGTAAATCAATGCTTTTTAAACCTCCACTGGGAGTCAAGTACAGACTGGAAACAAAGGATATTACACTTTAGAGTGGGCTGACTGACAATAAAAAGATGAGCAAATGTGACTCATGAAAGAGCCCAGTGACAGACTGCCTGGAGTGGAGGGGAGAGTCTCCCTCACCTCCTTCACGTCAGAGCTAAGAAAAATGATGAGCAGAAAGGAGCCACAGGGAGGTCCCTGGAAAGAAAGACATGGTAGGTGCCGAGAGCCTGAGAGGGGGAAGAGCTTGATAATCTGGAGAGACAGGAAAAGGTGCATCCTGCTGCAGCACAGTGAACAGCAAGGAGACTGGAGGATACGTGGTCAGACAAGAATCCCATGAAATATTTAGGAAGCGGGAAGTTTACATTTATTCTCATTATGGGAATCTAACCAAGAGACTTTAGCAGAGGAATGAGTTGATTCCAACTTAAGAAAGCTCACTCAATAGTGAGTAAGAATAAAGCCAAGGATAGATTCAGTCAGGAGAATATGTTATGATCATACTTGACCTATGTAAATTGTCTGTTCTCATTTACAATTACCTATTAGACATTTCTGAGATCCTGTCTGTAAATTCCCAAATACCCTTCTGCCTTTTAAGGAATAACCTTTTCTACTCTACAAAGACAGATAGGTGCTAGCATTAAAGATGTAAACATATGCCTAATTTGATATTAGTTGTTTTTTCCCCAAGGAAAGTGGTTAAGGACAATATATCTTAAACAAGGCTTAATGAACTTTCTCTATACTATTTTATAAAAAGTTACTATTCTGTAGTATAATGAATTCCTTTTCAACCACAAGTTTTCGGCTAGCACTGTTATCTTTCTCGATAACAAATACAAGTAGTCAGCAGCTAACTGCAGCTATAAGAGATAAAGACTAAATTCAGGAGAAATGAAGACTAAATATGCCATACCAAAAATTGGTTTAAAAGTCTCTAGTACTCTGGTACAGTATAGCAAAAGGCAAGTAATCCTATACAAATCCTAATTTGGTTCTCAAGGTTATAATAAAAACGTTTCTGAGAATGACCCTGTCTATCCAGTTTAACAAGCATGAATGTGGACAAACATTTCTTCTTAAAGATTTTGGTTAAAATTTGTAAAATGTTTAAAAATGATATCCAAAGAAATTACTCTCACTAATTAAAACCTTGGAAATTATTCCAGATAGCTGCATTTTTAAATGAAGACCTATAGAAACTTAGCCATTTACGATTATGTATTTCTGAGATATTTAAAAGTACATTATGATCATATACTTCTGATAACTTTTTTCAAGATTTATTTATTTAATTTTAGGGGGGAAGGGAGGGAGAAAGAGAGGGAGAAAAACTTCAATGTGTGGTTGCCTCTCATGCACCCCCTACTCGAGACCTGGCCTGCAACCCATGCATGTGCCCTGGCTGGGAACCGAACTGGCGACCACTTGGTTCACAGGCCAGCACTCAACCCACTGAGCCACACCGGCCAGGAATACTTGTGATAATTTTTAATGAGACAATAGGTTTTATCACATTCACTGCACCCTTCCCCGAAGTTAAAATTCTATTGAAGTAAATAAGAACCACTTGACCTGGCTGGTGTGGCTCAGTGGATTGAGTGCTGGCCTGCAAACCAAAGGGTTGCTGGTTTGACTCCCAGTCAGGGCACATGTCTGGGTTGTGGGCCAGGTCCCCCGTGTGGGGCACACGGAAGGCGACCACATGTTGGTGTTTCTCTCCTGCTCTTTCTCCTTCCCTTCCCCTCTCTAAAAATAAGTTAATTAAATCTTTTAAAAAATGATAAAAAATAAAATCTGAAAAAAAAACATTTGACATTACAACTATTAAAAGATGAGTTTCCCACAGATAATCCCTAGGTACCAAACATGGAAGACAAAATATTTAAAAGTTGTATTCTGAGTTTTAAGCTATAGTATAAAAGATATAATTTTATATAAATACCTGCACAGACTCAGTTGCATTGGTAGATTTTAAGTTACGTTGAGATAGTTGTAGGTCAATTGTTAAGTCATCATTCATAATCAGTTGAGCTTTCTCCTTTTTTTCTTCAAGGTCATCAGCAGTCACTTGCCCTTCCGTGGATTTCTCAAGTGCAGTAGTAACAAAGTCTATCAACAATGAATTCTCTTCATTTTCAGCTGATGTCAGGGATTGGTGGTTTTCAGTGTATTCTTCATTCTGATCTATTTTGAGACACAGTAACAGCACTAAAACTCCACTGTAAATTAATAAGGTGGATAAGAGATTCATTTCCTTTCTACTACATATCATTAAACCCTTTTTCTTGCAAGATAAAATATGAAGAAAACTACCATATTCAACTTGAATAAGCTTTTTTCCCCAAAGTGATCTACAAAAGAGAAAACGGTTACTCAATTTACTAAAAGATCTGACATACCTAACACTTAGCAAAAATACATTAGTAAAGAAAATGGAATAACTGCCCTAAACTAAAGACACACCCAAAGCGCTTGTTGACGCACAAACCAAGTAAGTCAGAGGGTAACATTTATTCTCTTCAAAAGCCTGTTTCTTAGCTGGCACGAGAAGCTGTGTGAGTAGGAGGCACACATCTCTCTGCTACTACAGTTTCTAGCAGCGCAGATGTAACTTTGCATAGACGCAGGGAGAACCAAGCGTCCGTGTAGTCCTAGTTGAGTCCACGACACAGAGAATCCAGCTCCCCTCTAACATGTTTTATTCCCATGACGATGCTGTCCTGCCTCTGCTAGGGAAGGGCACTGGCGGCACTTCTACCCTTCATCTTGCCCAGTGCTCCCAGGGACAGGTCCAAGTGCTGGCAGGAGAGAATTCAGGTCTGCTTTTACAGAATTGCTTCTGCTATTCTCATTCTACCACATTTTGGAATTCTCAACAGAAGGAAATCAGTGCTTTCCATATTGATTGGCAACTTTCACTTCTACTGGGACCCACCTCTGGCCAAACCTGTATCTTACGTTCAAAGTCTTAATTCCACTGCTTTCATTCAGCCATTTTTTGGACTTGCTTTGAAGTATGCTCAACTTAAAATCACTTTATAATTACAGTTACACATTCACATTTGGAGAGCACTTATGACTCAACGTATCATTAATGGATTCTGTACATGAGCTAGTCAATGTACTCAGTGAAAAGAACAAGGACTTGGAGCCAGGGTCAAATTATGATTTCACTGCTGACCTTGGGTATGTTTCCCAATATCCTTGTACTTCAGTCTCTCTCATCAATAAGATGACAAAAATTATACTACATAGTAAGCACTTAATAAATATTGATTACACATCCCAGTTCTGGAAACATCTATGCCTTTACTTCTCATTAAGCTACAAGTCATAGAACTAAGGAAAGGAGTAACGTTAGCAACTCACAGTAATAGTTAGTATGTGTTTACTAGGTACTGGTTGAAGTACTTTACTCATGATGAACCCACTGAATTATTCCAGCCATCCTATGAGATAAGTTACCCTTATTATCCCCATTTTAAAGATCAATATATACAGAGGGAAAGCAGTCAGCTACTTTGTTTGTGTAGTTGTGCCTGGATTCCAGTCCAGCTTAGTCTCACTGTAACAACCCATCTAACCATTACGCTGTACTGTAGAGTACTGCAGGAACACCTAACAGCTCACATTGGGAGATCATTCTGCTGTGCCAAGAGCTGGATACTGACTAAAAGGCACAGCATCACTTAATTTTCACAATAGCTTTGAATTTGGTCTCATTGTAAGTCAAGAAAGTTAAGGCCCTGAGTTCTACATCTCAAATCACATGATTAGTAAATAGCAGAGTTGGTACTAAAACTCAGGCAAACATAAAATGTATTGTTCTACGTAACTATGTAAAGTAGGGGGTGAGCAAAAGTAGGTTTCCGGTTGTGAGCGCGCAAAATAGAGTTTGTTCTTGCATTATTAATTGCTGTATCATTTATCTGTATTGTAAGTCTAAAATTAGTTTTACCTACCCATGTATTATTTATTTTACAAATATAACTTGTAAAATTCTAAGTAATAAAGTTCACAAAATAAGTTACAATAATTTGATACAACCACCTTTTATAGATGTTTTTTCCTCAGATCCTGGTGAAAAGGAATCTCCAAGACTTTCTTTGAGGGACGACGATGATAAACTTGTTAACCATGGATCCTGCTTAAAATTTAACAAGAAAAAAAAAAGTATTATGTAAGTTCAGTCCCCAAGATTTGTGGAGGACAACATCATTATTAAAACTATTTCATAACTCTGAAATGTGCATTATTAGGAGTTTGCTGCTGAAACACCAAAGCCTGTGAACTCGTAGAGGCTCACACACTCTCCTTTCCAGCCCCATGTCTTGCTCATGAAAAGACGTCACTGCAGGGCTATTCTAGTTCTTCGGCTGACACCTGCACATTTGTTTTTAGCACTGCGTAAAATTTCCACTAGTCTAAAATGAAACCTCAGAAATAGTTAAGGTGAAGATTTCATATCTCTCTAATCCTCCTTTCTAAGACAGTCTAAAGACAGTAAGTAAAAATCCTCAGTTTAGAACACCTACTACTAGGTGTCCAAATGAAAGCAATTATAAAACCAAGTACACAGCTACTTACAAACATTTGAAACTGAAAAAGTACAGATTTAATGCACTTCAGTTTTCCTCAAAATTCTAAAAATTATGACTAAAGTGGAAATAATAGTTGTGTGCCTAAATTAAACAGTTCTTTATAGAATGGTAATCTAACCCAAAGTTGATGATATAATAATGTCATCAAACTCAAACTTGGTTTGATTTTGTTGCAAAGAACACTTTATGTCAAAAACAACAGACAGAAACCATCTGGGAAGATGGCAGAAGGGCTGAAACACTGGAGCCTAATTTAAGAAACAAAGTTTTGCCTGAGGAGATTCGAAACTTGGAAGCTTTGAGCCTGAGGGCATTCTCCCATCCTGCAGTGCAGCGGAAGAGGCTTCCAGACTGGCCTGAGAAGGGGGGTGGTGTCAAAGAACTGAGTTCAGAACTGGGAGATCAGCCAGGATGTTTGGTTCAATGCAGAGGGCATACATCCCAAAATCTACATAGAAAATCCACTAGATTTCTTGGATCATCTATTCACAGTGTGGGGAAGGCCTTTTTAGAGGGTTCTGGAAAATCTTAGCAGCCAGAATCTCAAAGAACTAAGCAGAGATTTCAGTCCATATTCACCAATAGCATGATGGATGAGGAAATATATGAAACTATACTATTATTAGGTTTCTATATTAAATTTGACTAATACAGTATCAACTCTAAATAGATTGTGATAATTTATAGATGCACATTGTAATCCATAGAGCAACTATTAAAAATACAATGCAATTGGAATCAAAATGGAAAACTAAAAATAAGCGATCAACTTTTTTAAAAAGCCAGTAAAAGGGTTATAGAGGAAAAATAATGGCAGTGTCAATTAAAAAGACATAAAATAAATAGAAAACAAACATCAACAAATTGGCGCTATATGTACTTATGTTAAAAGTAAATGGGCTGAACACTCATAAATGTCTAATGGACCCATAAATGGACTACCATTACAAAGCAGATTATCAGACTTGATAAAAACGTGACACCACACTATTACTACAAAAGAGTCACTGAAAGGAAAGACACAAATAGTTTTAAAGAAAAGATAGCACAAAGATTTACCGTGCAAACACTGGTCATAAAAAAGCTGATGTTATCAGACAAAACAAATGGCCAGGTAAGGAGGTCTGCCAGAGGTAGAAAGGTTTGCTAATGCTAAGTGGGGTCCAGACACAAGTGCATCATATGTCTGTTAACAGAGTCATAAAACACTGGCAGAGCGAATGGGAAGTACAGACAAATTTGCAAGCATAACTGGAAATTTTTAACACGCTCAGATGGTACTTGGTGAATTAACTAGACAAGAAGTCAGAGTGGAGAGAGAAGACATGAATGATGCTACCAGCCACCTTGACAAAATAAAGTTATAGAACTTTATTCTAACTAGATACAACTTAAATAGAACTTCCTATCTAACACCTGCAGAACACAGATTTTTTGACAAATGGAACATTCACAAGACACACTTAGGATGGGTCATAAAAATATCTCAACAATTTTTAAAAATGTGAAATTTTATAAGATGTTTTCTCTGATCACAATAAAATTAAATTAGAAATCAATACAAAAGATTTGATTGGATCTAGAGAAGATCCAGATATTTGGAAATAAAATCTTTCAACACAAAATAACCAATTGGTCAAAGAATACAGGGAAATTAGAAAATATATTTAATGAAATGATAATGAAAATAAAAGGTATCAAAAAAAACTGGGTGCTGCTGGAGCTGTGCATGGAGAGACTCTTGTAGTTTCAGTAGCGTTATTACATGGGAGGAACAAATAAAACCCAAAGAAAGAAAAAATAAAGAGTGAAAATTGGTAAAACTGGAAACAAACTATACAGAAAATTAACAAAGTCAAAGCTGGTTTTTGAAAAGTTGAATAAAACTGAGCAATGCCTTTCAAGATTTAACCAGAAAGAAATCACAAATTCTATATTAGAAATAAAATAGCATGATAATCCACAAATTTCTTAATGGAAGCTTAGCCAGACACCATATAATTCCTCCTCTCTGATCTGCTGAAGCACATTATAGAAGAGGAATGTTCTTCCTATGCTTATCCCCTCCAAAATGGGAGGCGGAGGTTTGCTAACCACAGTGAGGTGTGAAGAGAGAGGGCCATGTGTTCTCCCCTAACAGCGCTGCGGAGGGAACTCCCTGATGAAATCCTGAAAGATCACACTTCCATTCTGGTATATCCCAGAAAATATGGCATGGTGCCATCAACATTCAATAAAAAAACAAATGAATAAAATGACACTGGCCATGACGTCCTTAGCCAGTGTGTATGACAAAGGGGCCACATACCAAATCTGACAAGCTCAGGAGAGGCCTGCATGGTGGGCCATATAAACTCAGAGACTGACAGTAACCACAGAGGATGGCCTGAACACAAAAATTCCTAACTAAAAGTGGGCCGTGGCCAGTAGTCACATCCTAGGTTTGTGGTTTCCTTGACAAAGGTCAATCTTTAGGTGAACCTGTCTTTTGTCTTTTTGCATCTAAGAGAACATGCCTCTGAAATTCCAGAGAAATCTCCTCTTCCAGATCCTCAGGGCACTCCCACCTCACCAGAGCAGAGGCCATCGAGCTCCTCCATTGCTACCATGCTTGCTCCCTGAAAGCGTTCTCCACACACTGTAAAGGTTCATTCTTAACTATCCTGTACCCACCACTGTAAAAGCAGAGATTTCCCTGCTTTGCTTTTTTCCATTCCCTAATCTACCAACACCAGTGGGTTTCAGGTAACTCTTCTAAGTCTCCTCCTTTGATTTTGATGTATAAAATAAGCTGCAAAGCTGCCATTCTCCCGAGCATTTTCTCAGTATGTTGAAATTTTGCTTCCCAGCAGTTGTCATAGTTTGGCTCAAATAAACTCATAAAAATTCTCCATGGGTTTGGACATTTCTTACATCAGCACTATAAGTTATATAGTTCAGATACACAAATAAAAATATAAATCCTTACAATTAAAGAAATACAAAATAATACAGATTCAAAAGGGCAACATTTTTTTCACATTTTATTTTCTCTGAAAATAAATGCATATTATAATTACTGGTGTGTTATGGCTTAATGGGCAGAGTTCCATTGTCTCTTGGCCCTACACAACATACTGCCATATCTTTGCTGTACCTTACAAATGATGGCGCTTCAGACTCAATGGAATACAGTATATTAAAAAAAAAAAACCTTAAAATCATTTCCTTAACAACTACTGAAGAAAACATTAACATGCACATGCATGCACAAAAATTCTCTCTCTCTCATGCGGAGAAGCAGAGGCCCAGATTCAAGAACACGGTTCAGCAGTTCAGCAGCAACACTAACCTCAGGATCAAGGTTTTCAGAGATTGCTTTTTTCTCATCTTCTAGTTGTCTGTCGTTTGGCTCTGGAAGGGACAAAGCTGCAGCATGAGCCTCTGATTCTTCATGAGGGGCAGTTTCTTTCTCTTCTCCTTGCCCATCTTTTTCCTCCTTGTGTTTTTTCAACATGGTCCTTGGCCGAGGTAAAGGTGTGAAGGGTTTTTCTGCTTCCTGGCTGCTGCTGGTGTCTGCTGAAAAAAAAAAAAAAAAAAAAAGGAAATGTTTTAAGGTGTATGAACAAAAAAAAGATCATGGCTTCAACCGCACCCCAAGGTGCCACCACGCCTCCCTCCGGTGCCCATGCACCTTGGCTGTCTGTCCCGGAGAGTCCCGAGGATGCCCACAATCCTCCTCTTCACAGAGCTCAAGTAGCCACGGATAAACGACTGTTCATGATCAAAATTTTAAAAAAATAGCTGCCATCCTGGAAGTATCTAGTTTACTTTAGTTTTGTGAGAAGTCCTCAACTTTATGAATTTTCACAGCATTCAGAAAATTGTAAAATGGAAAACAAAACTGTGCCCTATAAACTCAGGGGTTTCATCTATCAAACCTACTTATTGAGTCTCTGCTGCCGGGCCCTGTGCACATTACTTACATTCCTGGACCTCAAAATTGAGACTGTGACAATGGTGCCATCCAGGGACTTTACAGGTGGGGAAGAGAGCGGATTCTAAAGAAATAAATTACAGGACGAAGGTGAGCACCACTGCAAGCATGGAGATGATGTTGGTACAGCGATGGGACTACCTCTCGCTGGAGGAGGGAATGAAGACCTAGATGACTGAGCTGCTCTTTGAGTTCATGAAACTTCTCTAGCAATTTTGGAAATGGCTCAGTTCCCATTTCAATTACTTTTAAGTTTAAAACAATCTAATGCTGGTATACTTCTGGCCCTCAAAAGATGATAAGAAAGTTTTTACGTAAACCTTTTGCCTGAATTTTACCTGTTATACTTTCTCCATTGTTCTACCAATGCATTCTTCTGACAAAATTTCAAAACTGGACTAATTATCAGCTCCCTCCTTTTTGCCTATGAATGGGCTTAGGAATGCTGCTAGGAAATTCTACAACCCCACCAGTTGGTACCAATGTAAATGTTACACAGCCTATTTTAGCTATGTCCTAAATGTTCAGTCCAAATTCCAAGAGTCATCCCGGACTCCTCCCTCTGTTCCCCCATATGCAAGCATCACTATACCCTATAATTCTACTTCCTGAATCTCTCTCATTTGTTTTACTGTCCACATCCCTGCTGTGAGCTCCTCATCCATTCTTAAAATGAAAGTCATCATATCACTCCTCTCCACAAAACTCACTGGCTCTCCATCATAAAGTCCTACAGAATACAAGCTTACTTGCCTTGGAACAATCCAGAAGTTTTCATGGTCTTATCCCTGGCTACCTGCACTGCCTTGTCTACTGGACACCCATTTTGCAATCTGTGTCCCTGACATGCCGGCCAGGTGGCTGTTTTGAGTTGACGTCACAGTCCTTCCTACTACTGCACCTGCACTCCAGCTGAGCCCTCTGCCTAGAATGTCTGCTTCCTGCTGCTTCTCCTGACAGATGCCTGCATGTCTTTAAACTTAACCACACCTAAGCCAAGGTCTTCTGACATCCAGCTTGGTAAGGTGCTGAACTCTCTACTGAAGTGTGTTTGAGTTCAGTCATTTGCAAGCGAGAGTCCTCATTATGAGTACAATTATTTGTCACGGTTGCTGCTATTGTCACCATCTCCTCTAGGAAGCCTTCTGATGCCCTCAGTAAACTTGGGTGTGTACTTTCTGTGTTCTTACTGTACCTTTTGTATGGTTCCCCACTAAACTGCAGTCTTTGTTATGGTCTGAATGTCTGTATAACCCCAGATCCTTATGTTGAAATCCTGCCCCCACAGGTGATGGTACTGGGAGGCAGGGCCTTTGAGAGGTGATTAGGTATGAGGGCACAGCCTTCATGAATGGGGTCAGTGCCCTTATAAAAGCGGCTCCAAAGAGCTGCCTTGCCCCTTAGCCATGGAAAGATACAATGAGAGGTCTGCAGTCTGGAAGAGGCCCTATCTGCACTGTGACCTCAGACTTGGGTCTCCAGAACTGTAAGAAGTAGGTTTCTGCTGTTTATAAGCCAACTAGTTTGTGGTATTTTGTTACAGCAGCCCAAGTAGACTAAAACAGTCTTAGAGGATTGGTACTGTTTTTTTTTAATTAAACTTATTAGGGTGACTATTGGTTGATAAATAGATTCCAAGTGTACAAGTCTATAACACATCACCTGTACACTGCATTGCATGTTTTCTACCTAAAGCCAAATCTCCTCCCATCACCATGTAATGGTGTATTCACAGTGCTTGGGACATAGTGTTTGCAACACAATTATGTGTGAGTAAAAAAAAAAATGATCTCTTTATCAGCAAATGTTAAATAATAAAATGAATCATAAAAACAAAGAATGTTTACGCCAAGTTTGTTCTAAGCTCTTGAAACGTATGAACTCATTTAATTGCCTCAGACCCCTGATGGTGACTTAGCTATTATGCCCATTTTATAGATGGAACATAATTAAATGAGCAGCGAAGAGGCCCTGCCCACACAGTCATCAACCTGGATGGTGCAGTCAAAGCAGCAGCACCCTGCCTCCAAAGCTCATGACTCCAGTCACGTTAATGTTCAAATAAAAGCACACCCTGCAAAAATTACCTTTTACAGTCACTGCCTATGTGGCAGTTGCTCACCAGAACATCCAAGGACAAAGAAAACTTTCAGGTTATAACTTATTTATAAAGCATTAATTGCTACTCAGCAATATCTCACCACATTAAAAAGTCAGGTTCCAAACCCTGTAAGGAAAAGTCTAAAAATTAAAAAAAAGATAAACCTGAGCTCATGAACCACATTCTTTCTTTCATGAATGAATCAGTCATTTTCTATTTACATATTCAAATACTTAATAAATGCTAGACACCATCTTAGGACCATTGGTCTCCAATTTTTGCTTCCGTCTGAAGTACCTGGGAATAATGACTTTAATATATTTTATACTAAAATGCCACTTCCAGCATTGTCAAGTTTTCAGAAAAAAATATATGTCTATGTATCTTCAAAATGCAATGCTTTATAATAAAATGTAAAATATTACCTGTATGGGTAATTATTTTTATATTATATATCCTGAAGAGCAAAGGGCTAATGATTATTTAAAAATATAGCACTGCACATTGTGTCTAGCACTTAGAATCCAGGTGCCATCTTGTGGTTAAAATACAGTATTTCTACATCCATTTTAACCCATCAAAGGTTAAAAAATAAAAAAAGTATTAAATAGGTGGATTATTGTTGATTATCATTCAGTTACATACCTCTACCTGAATAAGACCAATTTTTTCTTCTGTATGTCCACATTTTCTTATTAGCCTAATGAAAAGTTTTTATGAATCATGACAAGTAGGATAAATATAATCCACAAAAACAAATTTCTAAGCTCAGATAAGACTAGAAAACACTACCTCCTTTATCCTTCTTGAAGAGTCACTATGTATCTTTATTTATAGCTCCCAGAAGGTCTCTCATAAAGAAATCAGTTTAAATGTTCTATCCTTCTGTGTTTTCCCATAATGCCAATGAATAACTGATGGATGGGATTTTGGGCAATGGTGAACTATTGGATTATTTACCAAGTTTAATTATGTTCCCTTCTTTCCATTTTTTCAAATTGTATTCCATACACTGGGAAGGTATATTGTAGCAAGCGAATTCTGTTTCATATGACTTGTGGTCAGAATTTTGTAGCATTTTATAGTTTATGACACATACATCAATTAATTCTCAAAACAATTTTGTGGGATGGGAAGAGCAGGTTTCATCCTCCTCCTCCTCATGCACACACTGGGCTAAGGTCACACATACCAAATACAAAGTTTTTTCTTTTTTTTCTGTGTCCAGGACACAACAGTAGTATCCATAGCTCTGCTCATAGCCTTTCTTCATTTGGAAGTGAATGGGATTGTGGGGGGGAAATGAGGAGGGGCTCTCTAATGCATGTACAAAATAGTTTTGTCTGATGCTACCAGTGGTATCTACTGTGTAAAGTATGTAATATTTACCAGCACAGTATTTAATGTTGATATAAAGGAAAGCAAGTTTTATGAAAGTTGGTATCAAGTGCCATTTTTCTTGTAAAACAAAAGAAAGAAGACCAGAAGACACAAAACCATTCCCCTCCTGTGTCCATGTTTCTGTGTGGCGGCCCAGGGGACTTTAAGGGGTTGGTTCCCACTTCACTCTGTCTTTGTTCCACTGTGCCTAGAGCTCAGTAGAATTGTGGCAAATTACAGTGATCCCAGATCACACCAGAAATGTACTCAGAATATTGAGTTTTAGATAGATAAACTGAATGAAGATTCTTCTTTCTAAAGGAAAACCTGGAAGCTTAAACAATAAGAGAAAAAGACAGAACTCTCTCCCTTCAAATACGTAAATCTCAAACAAAATTCTGGCAAATGGTGGCACGGAAATGATGTTTTAAGGACTGGTCCCAGGGCTGCTATAACTTTAATCACTGTAGTATGAAATGGATTAGCAGGATCCCACTGTGGTTCCACCCCTAAACACAAAATCGAGGCTCACAGACTGAGGCGAGGCTGGACCTCGGAGCTCAGGAGGCGCCGCTGTGAATGACTGAAGGTGCTCGGGCCTCCTGCCAAGCACCAGCATAGATGCTACACCAATATACCGCTGCACATCAGAACTACGGGTTTTCTCTGTGGTTCCATTATTCTATGGTTGTAAAACTGAAAACTTAAGTCTGATTTCTTTCTTAAATATTAACTAGCTACCATATGAAGGTATTTTCTGCCTGGTTATCTTAAAATAGATTTTTGAGAAATGCAGTTATCATGATCTCATAATTTACCTGAAGATGTGTTTTTGATGGAAAGAATTCTGGGTTTAGGTTTCACTTGGATTTTCTCTTCTTTGATTTGCTGGTCTTCATTTTGAGATTCAGATACGGGATTTACAACCCCGTGGTCACCACCATTAGGTGCTGTTTCTTCAACATTTTTGATGGAGAGTGAGGGCTCATCTTTCATCATGTCACTGCTGGACTTCTTGGTTTTCAAAAAAGACAGTTTTGGAGAATTCTTTTGTTCATCATCTGATATGTGGAAATCATTTATTGTTTTCTTAACTGAATTTTCATCCATGGAGGTGTCAGAAAAATCACCCAAGGAAACTAAAAATGGAAGAAAAAATGTCTTCAGTGGTGCATCTTAAAGTCTGGAAGGTTACATTAATCAAAAGATTATCTTTAAGATTAGAAATGAACAATCTAGGCAGTTTTTATTGGCATTTATTAAATAGAAATTCCATTAATTTATTCAAGACATACTTATCAAGTCTGGATAGTGTGCCAAGCACTGTGCCTGCCCTGAGAAGTCATCCAGACGTTCCTTGAAATAACAGTTGCCCATGGGATAGTTAGATTTTGGATTGTAAAACTTTTATATATAAACAACCATATTAGATTTTACTGTGAGAAAAATAATACAGAATGTTAACCATATAGCAATGATTAAATGATTGTTCTGATTATTTTAAGAGAACATTAAGAATTATTCACTGAATCTGAAAATATAAAACAATGCATTTCAAGTTTAGAATTCTGTATGTTTATACCTAAATGTTACTGTTTGTACATAATCAAAAGAAAACAAATTAAATCATACCAATATTGAGACACTGAGTTTTTAAAATTGAGTCCCTATTAGAGCCAAAAAAAATTTATAAAAATCATTATAAAAGTGATTCTGATGTGCACCAAAGTTTGGTTCTACAGACCCTAGTAATTACTTTACTATAAGGTCTCCTAGGGTTGACCTTAAAGATAAAATTGCTTCCCCACTGACAGACATCCTTTACTGCAGACCTACTGTTGGCTAATTTATATTTTCATATTCATATTCACACACAACCAAGGACAATCATGTAACTTCTTGAAAATTAATGGTGACTTTTACTTCACAAAAAGTTGGAAATTTAAAACTAGTGAATTCATAGATATTATTTCACATAAGTGATTTTTTTTTTGAGGAATGGGCCAAATACAACTAAGAAAACAGAAAGAAGAGCAGTGGTTTACTTTCCATGTTCTCACATACCAATCTCATCACTGTCAAAGTCATCTGAGTATTCAGAACTCCTTTGTCTGGCTGAGCGAGCTGTAATTGCTTTTATTAGTTCATCCTGAAATAAAGTAATTAAAATCAATTTTTACACAAAAGTCTCATATTTAGAATTAAGTATTTAAGCAAATATAGTGCTTGGTTAATAACTGCTTTCAAACTCATGTTTTATCAGTGAATGCCAATCTTATGCCAGACACCCAAGTCCTCAGACTCAATGCAGAACATCACAAATAAGATTCCTGTCCTCGTGGAGCTTCAGTTAAATTGGAGGAGACAGACAATACCAATAAGATAACTGTGGAGACTCAGACAGGATATATTATGAACTGCCATTCTGGAAGAAACTGGTACTGTTTATGATCTTTTGCTTCTGGAGATTGCAGTAAAGGATATAATTGTTAATACTGCAAATTTAGAAGCTGAGTTCAAAACTATAGTGCCTGGACAGAGAAAACCTAAATGCTATTATGTTACAATAGGGAAAAACCATAAAACATTTACATGGAAATTCCAACTTACAATTGCTATTCATGTTCTAAAAGCTGATTTAACTTTTACATTAGTAAGACCCGATCACTGAGGCCAGTTTGATGGTCTTACACACACAGAAGAGTTTGTAATGCTAGAGGCCAAACACAATCACCTGCAAAATGTTAAAAGGAATGTAAGCCTCACTCCACCTTTATATAGGACTCTTCCTAACATCAGTTCAAATCCAATGTTCCCAATCCAGTGTTTATTTGTAAAGTCATTTGAAATACTTTACCTGGAAAGTAGTTCTTTTGGCGACTTTTGGACTTTTTGTATATGCCAAAGTTGTGCTAAAAATTTCACCAGACATAACGTTTGGGATTTTTTCTTTCCTCGTTACCTTTGTAAAATGGCTAATAAATGATAGGAACAATTCAATCACTGATAGTGGCTGAAATAAAAAAAAATACACTTTTTTGCATGCTTGAGAATTTCTAATACTAAACTCTATGCAACGCCCCGCCCCCACCCCGTCAAAGTCAAACAAAACCAGAAAAGCATGATGTAAAGGTTGACCTACATGAGCTACATCTACACTTAAAAACGTAGAGTTCTTGTAAAAATATATCAAATTCTCATAACAAGCATTTAAAAAAATTCAGATTGAAGTTATCCTAAAATAATTTTGCAACAACATTTTAAGGACGAGCAAAAAAAGACTGCAAATAGGTCAATAGGCAAAAATGTTGCCAATTAAACTACAAACTTTATTTCTTGCATTAAAAAATTATAACACTGCTAACAAAAAGTCATACTTATTTAAAAGACTACCAAGAGTACTATTAGCATAAGGATTATAACTAAGAGAACTACCACCGTAACAAAACAAACCAAAAATTGCTCGCGTACAGATCATAATGCTAAACTGCAAACTGCGGTATTTTCCAAGCTACTTTTCCCTCTTTAAAAGGTGTCAGCAGGGTAAGATAAAACGAAGCTCCTCGAAGGGCTGCATTCATGTCACTTTATCAATTTGCCCGTGAACGTTTCTCGTACTTGAAGTGGAGGCCTGGGCCTGGTCGCCCAGCTGCCCGTCCACCGCAGCGCGAACCGGGGGTCAGCTCCAGGCCCGTTCAGGTGGCGCACAGGTCCCCGCCCGCTCCACACCGAGCCGCCCGCAGAGATCTGGGTATTCTGCAGTGCACGCTTGAGCGCGGTCTCTGCCCCGTTCATCCGCAATCCACCCCCACCCCCCACGAAGTCCCTGTTCTGTACCCACCCTTGCCACCCTGCGGAGGGCTCCCCGCAACCCTGAAGACAGAGCGGCTGGACTCAGGCAGGACCTCTTCCCTAGGCCTGGGCTCCGCGATTCTCGGACACCGGGAACAGGACGAAGCAAAGGGGGTGGGACTAAAAAAGGAGGTGGTTGGCTGTTGCTAGGAAACAGCGTCTCCGGGAGGAAGTGACTTTCCTACCTGCAGGTCTCTTGGGTACCCAACACCAATTTACGGCGCCACGCGTTGCTGGGGCAACCGTCCAGAGGAAGGAAATGACGTCAGCTCTCTGGGTCTTGGGAGTAGGGTGCACTCAGGCAGCCAGTGCTTCAGTTGTTGCCTAGGAGACAGGACTGGTCCAGCTTCCCTTGGCGCGCCGGGAGCCTTGAGCTTTCCAGTAGAGCGAGGGGCTTCACCCACACCTGCTGTGTGAACCAAAACACATTCATGGTTTTGCCATAGTTAGGGCATGAAGTCTGTGACTCGGACTGACAGAATAGTGTACGGACAAATAGGACAGAACTGAATAATATGGTGGCGATGTTTGCAAACACAAGAGCCTGACTGCACGTTTGAATATTGGTGTCCCTTCCCTATACCCATGTGATGTCGTGAAAATTAACGTTTCTGTTCCCCAGTTTCTTCTTCTGAAAAAGGAGATAGATAATAATAGCCACTTTAACGCGTCGTGACGTGTATTAAATGAAGTAATGCAGGTGGAATATACCTGCAAAATATCTGGTTTTGAATTCAGCCAATATCAGATAGGCTTTTTAGGCTATTCAGCCGCAAAGGACCTGGACAGAATTTATCCCTGATTGACACGGCTGAAAACCCATTTTCAGGTGTTTCTTTAATATAAATCTTCCCTTTTTTTATACGCAAGGGATAATCTGGTTAGAATCAGACCAGTCAACAAAATGATTTAATAGGCTAGAGGACAGTATGCTGCTAAGTAACCAAAATCACCATCAATTAATTAAACAAAAGACAAAATCAATTAACCCCTAAACAAAAGACAAAAACAATTCTTTAAATAATACTTTAAAATAACATGAATTTCTACTATTATAATTTAAAAGAAGCTTAATCTTAGTTAAATTGTCTGAATAAATTTACTGTCTAGTAATTGAAATGTTCTAGTATTTTCCCATCTCTAAAATTTATTGATTTTCACTTATTCAACAATGATTTATAAACAAATCAAATTGAGTTTGAGATTTAATAAATCAACATTGAAAAACTAAATGTGCATAACAAGAAATGTGAAATTTTGTGAAAAATCTATGCTTTTAAACAATATGCACAATGCAACTTTTTAAAATGTGCTCAGTTTTATGCTAATTTGTTTGAAAATCTCAGTTTAATCAACTTTTGCTTAATTTTGATGCTTTTAAACATTTTTGTGTCTCTGCATATAAGAAAGATTTCCCATTCACTAGTTACTGTTAGCTTTCTGATCCATATAAGTTATTAACTAATAAATATTATTCCATCATAGCACTTGTACCTCCATTGAGAAAATAGTATCTGCATTTTCCTTATACATAAAGTATTAATTTGCTCATGTAGAAATACTTAGATTTATTCAACATCTCTGCTCTGTTCATTTTTAAATCTGCATGCTTGATTTAATTTTCATTTAGATAAGATTTAAGAAAACAAAATTTTTAAAAAAACTAAAAAGAACCTTTAAGACAAGATTATATCTTTTCTACAGAAGTGACTAGATTTTTATTTTCAACTTCAAAATAATTGACAAATACCAAGCTATGTCATACAAGGCTACAGTAAACAAAGAAGTATAAACTGGTTAATTTCTCCACAAAACATAAAGCCTGATGTCTTTTCACTATTCTCTTAAGCAGAAAAAATTATTTGTTAATAACATGATGTAATACCTGAATTTATAGTATTTTATCTAATGCATAATTTACAATAAATATACAATTGTTGAATCAACTCATGAAAAAATAGTTTTTTAAACTGAAATAATTTTAAAACATTCAAAAAGAAGCTTATAGCTATTCAGTTTTTTAAAAAATGAAAACACAACACAAAATTTCAGTAGTTTGTGTGACATTTTCTCTATATCCTATTTTTCATTTTTAAAATATGTATTAAATCTCACAAGTTTTTGCCTAGTAAACTTTTTTTAGTTTAATACCGTTTTCATTTCTGAACCTTCTCTTCATTCATTCATTCATCATTCAGTTAGAATGCCCATATAAATTTTATGGGTCATATTTCAGGAGTTCAAAGTTTAAACCAGACTACGTCCCTGCCTAGGGTTCTTACAGACCAGAGCCATACAGAGGGGTGAGTTTGAATTGATTAATGAGTATAGGACACAAGGGAGAACCTGAAGTATGTTTTAGGCAGAGGAAATGGCCTATGAACATGGACCCCATTCCATTGTGGGTATAAGTGGCTGAGCAGAGAGATACTGATGGTCCTTTGACTGTGCTACTGTCTGGCAAGGAGGGGAGTGAGAAAATTCATTTCCAGATAAAGAAGCAACTAAGAAGTGACTCTTCTTCATAAGTTCCCTGCTCCCACCTCAGTAGTCAAATTGTTTATGCCTTAACGGCCTGTCACACAAGTTGACAAAGGATCCTGTACTCACATCCCTAGTTAAAACCATAAAGCACCTGTCTAGCATTTTGAGGAGTGTACTACACAGAGCAAATCCACGAGGGTGTCCATCCACAACCACTATACTTACATTAAACACTGAGTGCTCGTGTCAGAGGAAAATGCAAGTGCAGGTACTAATACCAGTGTTGACTTGTAGGATCAGTACCACAGGAGACCTACAGGAGGGAAATATCAGCATCTGGAGGAAAGACAACCTGACCAACTGTTATCAGCATGTTCTAAGTGAGGGAAACTTGCTGTTAGTCAAATATACCAGTAAGTATTCTTTTTGATTGTCATATAGAATATATGAATTATACAACAAGAGAACTATGCTTTCTCACTCAAACTCAGAACTTGTCACTCTGAACAAATTATTTTTGTTATCAGGGTAAGGCTCTTGGTTAAATGCTCCTTGAAGATATTGTTCTAGACAAAGATACATGCCCTGGGTGGATACTCCACTCCTTGTATATCGCTAACTGTCCTGTGCCGACTATAATTCCCTATACTTTACTCATACCATTTAATTCAGTCTTTCAAACACTCTGTGATATTGCTGTTTTTTACATTTATATTTTACAGGTGAAAAAAAGAGATATGGTAACATCTTGAGATGCAGGTAGATTTGAAAATATATTCTTTTTGCCTGTGAAACATCCCAGACAAGACTGGTTTGTTATATAGACTTTATTCTGTTACTGTGGTTTTAAGAAATCTTCACTTTAGTAATGTTTCACATATACAAAACCACACTGTCTTTACTTAGGGAGTTGATCTAGTGTTTCCTCTCTTTCCTACTTTGGTAGCATAACAAGTCCTGATCTGTCGTTTCTGCCATATGCGCCTCTCCCTTTCATTCACCTGTTTGAGATCGCTGGGTGCCTTCCTGCTTTGGGCACTTTTCCTTTAAGACAACTCTAGTTTCGGGATAGAAAAGAAAAATCACTCATTTACACATTTTTACACAAAAACATAATGGATTTTTTTTGTGGAATTAAGATATAGCCTTGAAGAAAGCCCCAGCATCACTTAGTGGGAGATTTCCTTGTAAAAGGTCATTTGTTTCAGGATCTTCAAGGGAAGAAGGGCCAGAGCCCAACGATAGTTGATGAGAATAAAACACACTCTTCAACACCATGAATAAAAGCTAATTTTGGTTTTGCATTGTACTCATGTTGGAATGCCATTTTTCTTTTTCTTTCCTTTCTTCCCCCGCCCCCACCTTTTTGTTTGTTTGTTTGTTTGTCTGTTTGGGGAAATCTTTTTCAGGAGAGGACATCCCATGGCTTGCATTAGTAACGATATTCCAGCAGATGGCAGCAAAGGATTTAGCACCCGGGACTACATAGCAAGGAACTCCTTAATCATTATTTTCTGGATATTTTACTTTGCTTAGGGTGATTTTAAAAATACATTGAGAAATAAACTACTTTTAAAATAATTTAATAAACCTTTTTGAATGATCAGATTTTTATATTAGAAACCTGGAAATGCAGTAATGTGACAATAAATATGTTTTTATAAATATTTTTAAAAGACTGTGTAAGCTGCTTACCTGACAGTCCATTCCTTACTCCCAAACCCAGACATAATTATTGCTAATAGTTGGGATTCTTTTCCATACTATTTTTTCTATGCACATAAAAATGTTCACATTATGTGTATTTTTCTATAACCTTTTTCTTTTACTTGGATATTCTTTCATGTTAACCAACAGCTGAATTGTGCATAACTCTATGGCTATACAATTATGTATTTCAAAAATCATTATTCATGTCCATTTATATTGTTTCTAGTTTTGATGAGAAGTCTTGAGTAAATGTTATGGCATACTTATTTATTTTGGATAAAATCCTACGGGTGGAATCATTGAGTATATGCCCATTAACAGTCATTGTAGTTATTGTCGAAATGCCTTGCAGAGAAGTTTTTAAAACATAACATTCCAAAGTACATCATAAGAAAACTTTTCACCTGAACTTACTCATTATTTAGCCACACTTATTGTACCCTTACAAGATGCAATTTTGTTTCCTAAATTTTTCTTTTCTTTTTAACCTATGCAAGTCTATTTATTGCCTGCTTTAAATGTAATTTAATATATTGGTACAAATAAAAAATGAAAGGTCAAATAAAAACACAAACATAAAATCTTTTCTTAGTTTTTAAAGGAAACACTAATGGTTAAGGGAGGAGGAATTATTTAAATATAACTAAAAAATGTTCTGTGGGTAAAAATAAAACTTCAAATTTCCTGAATTTTATAACTATCATTTCTAGTATTAGGAAGAAACTATTTAATATAGTTCTCTTAAGGAAATCCATTAGGTCACAGGAACTAAAAATAACATAGTTAAAGCTCTTCGTGTTTAGAACAGGCTATGATTAATGTCAAGGCATTCCTAAATATTTTGTGTAGCCTCAAAGGCATTGCATTTGCCCAATCATAGGTTCAATTTTTGGC